AGGGAGGGAGGGAGGGAGGGAGGGAGGGAAGAGGAACGGACCTGTCTTGGTTGCAGGGAAGAGCCCTCCCGGATATCCACAACCCATAGCTGCCGGGCCATCTGTATATACGACGTGGCAAGTGTTTGATCCAGCTCTGTCCGTAGCCCCGCTCATGGATTGCGTTCCCCCCTCCCTAGTCTCTGATCCCCTTCCCTCCCTTCCCGCTCTTTTCATACCTGATGGGAGGCGGTATGTAGATACGTTAAATAAGAGTCATCTGGAGAAAACTTGAAATGCGAAGGAGCATAGTTGGCCAGCTTTTCACTGTTCATGTCTTTTCCTTTGGGTCGGTCTGGGGGCTGCAGTCGACGGTGATGTTTGCCCACAGGAGGGGGGAGGTTAGGTTGATGATGGAGTTGCGTTGATGAGAAGACTCTAATCACAGCACCCCTTCTTGATCTCCGAGCCCTTCCCTGCGTCCTGCTCGTTTACAGAGCAGCACCACAGCTCGATATGATGCTCGTTCTGGCCTTTGTATTAATGCTTCCGTTGCTTTCGGCCCTAGAAAGTGGTCTGTTGGTCAGGAAGCGCTTTGACTGAAGAAAGAGTGACATGTACATGAGCGATTCTTTGACTATGTTTCATGGCGAAGACCCCCTGAACATGTTGCATAGGAAATGCTTGCAAGATGACCCGAACGTGATGGCTGGATTGGAAGGTTTTCGCATGTATGAAAAAGTCCAAACTGACGCCTTCGGTGCCAAACGTGGTCACGCATGGTCGCCTTCCGGGTAGGTTCCTTCCGTGAGGCCGATGAAGGAGAGAGGACTGGGCAATATTTATGAGAGAATCTTCACGAGTGTCACGTCATGACGCGTCGATTTCGTGCTTGAAATTCAGAAATTGGTTCGTGCTTTAACGGACTAGGCGAGAAAACGGACTAGGCGAGAAAAACCTACGACACTAAAGGTGCGAGCTGAGCGACAGACGTGTTTCCTGACAGGTCCTATTTTAGGGTGCTTTGTCTTTGCCACACATTATTCCTCATTTTCCACGCTTCAACCTCAACGATACTGTCGCGAAAATCTTCCCGTCAGTTCCTTGGCTTGCGTGAACAAATCACTCGCCTGTCGGGCCCCCATTTCTTTCGTCCCCTCCATGAAAGCTTCTCGGGACCAAGGTGTCCTTTTTATTCCCTCCACCCTTTGCTTCTCCTTCTCCTTCTTCTGCGCTGCCTGTAGTTTCTCCTGGTGCAATTCGAGCAGAGTCTTGCGACCTGCTGCGGCCGAGGCTTCCTCTTGGGCCAGACGGGCCTCCGTGGCAGAAGTCGGACCCTTGGGCGCAGTGGGATTGGTCACGCGCTGACGTTCCGAGCGCCTGGAAAATATACAGGAAAAGAGGTATGGCAAAAATGATGAGAGGAGAGAATAGACGTGTATTCGATGGCATTTGTGAGAGGTATGAAGCACGCGTCTTAAAGACTCTACGGCTTTATGTTCGAGAGCGAGTAGGACTCAAGCATTCGAGACCCCGGCCCTCCACCCCGCCGTAAATGGCCCCACCATCCTCAGAGGTCCCAGACCACACCTTTTCCCCTTCGAAATATGTATATATATCTATATGTCTGCTTGACCGCTCCCGCTTTTACCCCCGGCTCGAAGGGCCAATCATTTCCCTCCCTCCCACGCCCTCCGTCCCTCTGAGACAAGCGTCTGCCCTTCAGGCAAAACCTCCCACAACCGCCCTAAAACCCCGACCACGTACTGGGTAAATCCCCGATGCTTTTGGGAAGTCATGGCGTCCCGCCGCAACCTCTCCATGTTCTGGGCGCTCCCAGCCATCAGCTCAGAAGGGGCTAGGTTCATCCATTCCTCCCTCCCGCCCTCCCTCCCGCCCTCCCTCCCGCCTTGACCCGCGGAAGCAGCAGCGGCCGCAGCCCGCTTCTCTCGGACGTGACGGTAGGCGCTGTGGGGAAGGAGGGAAGTAGGGAAGGAGGGAAGGGGGTCGGTGGGGTGGAGGAGGGGAGGGGGTGGTGGAAGGATGGGGCATGCGTGACAAGCAGCCTTCCGAGGACAATGCCGACGCTCGTTCTCCTCCTTCTCCTCCGTCTCCTCTTTCCCTTGCAGTGGCTTACTCATTGCGCGTCGCCCACTGCCTACCCCGGTCTCTCCCTCCCTCCCTCCCTCCCTCCCTGCTTGCTCACATCTCGTCGGGCACCGCTTCCCGGCCATCGTCCATGGAAGGGCCAATCAGACCCTCATCCTCGCTCTCCTCCGCCGCCTCCGCCTCTCCCTCCGGCGCGTGCTTCATCAACGCTTGCGC